TTCTAATTTTTCATTTATTTTGTCATTTTGTTCTTGTATTTTCTTCCAAAATTCTTCTAGGGTTTTTTCTGTGTTTTCCTTGGTCTGTCTCTCAATCCTTTGAAGATACCTGAATATAATTCTTTTGAATTCCTTATCAGGGAGTTCCAGTGCTGCGTCTTCCTCAGGGATGTGTTTTGGGTCTGTATCCTGGTCCCTTGTTTCTCATGCTTTATCTTGCTTCTTTGTGTGGACTGTGATGCTCTATTGTCTGCGAGGCATTGTGACATTTTTTTTGTGTTTATATTTAATTGGTGATTTTATGTTAGAGTGACTTGCCCACAATTTTTGTTTTCTTTGTATGTTATCTATACAGGCAGGGTACTGTGCTGTGCTCCTCTATTCACTAGTTCACAGCACTTATACACTCACCACCTGTCTCCTTTCCTTTGTCAGCCTCTTGTATGTCCTTGCTGGCCCTGGCAAACAGAGCCTGTTCTTAGGTCCTGTTTTTGTTCAGGTTTTTCCATTAGTTGGTGCCTAATCCACTTCTGTTTAGTTCCTTTCAAAGCTCAGGGCTCCAGGATTATCTTCTGTATCTCTGTCAATTGGTTTTTCTATTATTTGTTGAAGAGGGTCTGTGTTGCTTGTCTGCCTATTCCTCCATCTTACCAGAAGTCCCAAAAGGGGTCTTTAAAAAAAAAAATTATTGTGGTGAAAACATACACAACAAGATATTTACCACCATAACAACCTCCACATGTACAGCTCAGGGATACTGAGGACATTTTTCTTGTTGTGCCACCATTATTGCTACGCTTTTCCAAATATTCCACCACCATTAGCATAAACTCAGTGCCCTGTGAACAAAACATTCTCCTTTCCCTCTCCCTCCTACCCCTGATAACCACTAATAATCACTGGGGTGTGTGTGTGTGTGTGTGTGTGTGTGTTTAATTTTAATTTTTATTTTTATTTTCCTTCCCCTCAACTTACTTAGGAATTTTCCCTCCCTTGCCCTCCCTTCCCTGGTGTTCTGGTTACCTAGTGCCACTCCAAGAAGACTATATCACAAATAGGATGGCCTTATCAAACAGGAGTTTATTCTCTTACAGTTCAGGAGGCTAGGAGTCCAAATTCAAAGTGCCAGACTCTAGGGGCTGGGTGAAAGCCCCTCAGCCTTGGGGTCCAGCTCTGCCTTCAGCTCCTGGCCCACTGGAGCTAGAGGCTTTTCTTCACTCAGACAACTGCTGGCTGCTGAGGCTGCCAAGCCCAAGGTTGACAAGTAAATAGGCACAGGCCCAATGTTACCAAACCGCAGGCCATTCATTCAAGTCCATTGTAAGTCCCAAGGTTGGCAGAGCATGGCAGGCTGCTTAACAATGACATGGCTACATGCAGGGTCCAAGCATGCTATATACTAGAGACCATGCCCAAGCCTTCTCCTTATATACAGGAAGCAGACCACATCCCAAAGGCAGCTACTCAGCTGCTTGTGGTAAATCCCACCATAGTGTTGATTGCCAATCTCATCATGAGGAATAACTACCACCAGCTGCCCAGCCACTCAACCAGGCCCAGCCAAGTTGACACACAAACATAACTACTACACCTGGTAACCCACAAAGAAAGCTTCCTTCCTTGTATAATGCTTTCCTTGACTTTATACAATAGTGGACTAATACAGCACTTGTCCTTCTGTGATTGATTTATTTCACTCAGCATAATGTCCTCCAAATTCCTCCACATTTCTGTGGTGATTTGCAGATTCTGTATTATTCTTTAAGATTGCATGGTGTTCCATTGCGTGTATGTACCACAGTTTGGTTATCCATTCTTCTCTTGAGGGGCAATTAGGTTGTTTCCATCTCTTTGCTATTGTAAATAGTGCTGCGATGAACATGGGGATGCATATATCTATTCATGTCCTGCCTCTCACTTCTTTAGGATGTATACCTAGTAATGGGATTGTTGCATCAAATGGTATTTCTAATTCCAACTTTTTAAGGAATTGCCACACTTACCCAGTAAGATCATGCGTGGGGAGGCTGGTTACATGGTGCTGCAACAGTGGACACCAGGCCTGAAACTCTGAGGCCAGCAGCTCAGGTATCAGTGTGTGCTCCTACTGCAGATGGCCATTGTGGTCTATTGATTTACTGGGCATTTGATTAAAACCCGCATTAAACTTATTCCTAACTTATTTCCTGCCAATTTACATAATACCTGGAAAAGTGGCCTTTCCAGGGAACTTGTAAAAGTAATATTCACAATGGCAGGAGAAAGAAAACCCCACACTTCCCCAGACATCTCAGCGGAGTTCCCGTTCCATCCTGAATTACTTTGGGTCAACCTCTATCAAGACCTCAGGAGAAAAAGGCTATGTAGTTAGGCAGCCCTTTCCTTCTCAATGGGGTTGCTAAACTATACCCTGGAGGCTTTGTCTTCTCTGATGGTGGATCTACACAGTACTTCCCCTGAGAAGTATTCTGTGCTTCACCCTCTTACATTTCCAGTGAGCTGTGGAGCCTCTTAGAGATATGTGCTGTGAACAACTGACTGCATGGCAGGCCCTGCCAGCTCTAACTCCAGAGCACACTGAAACCAGGCCGTGAGATATAGATGAACTGAAGCACTTGGCCCAGATAGCTTGGACTGTCAGGCATCAGGCTAAATTCAAATGCCCTCTGAGGCCAGGCAGATAACCTGGACTGTGGCATCAGGAAAAGGAGTGATGAGTCTGTGGGCCTGCCAAATGGGTCCTGCCGAAAAGCATCCCAGGATTCGAACTGCTGCGCGGAAGGCCGTTGTTTCAGATCTGCCTACAGGGAGTCCCCAAGCACCCGCAGCAAGCTTAGAGCTGCCAGGCATTCTCTCTGCTGCCTTCTCAGAGCGTGGTAAGCTTGCAGCTAAGGCAGAAGGACAAGCACAGCTGGGGAGAGTGGGCCCTAAGGGGGCCTTCAAGCCACATGGAATCTTTGCTGAACTCTTGTTCTGAGGACTTGTGACTGACAACAATGTGTTGTGTCTTCCTTTCAGGAAAACTTGCATTTAAAAAGAGAATATCTAAAGAGGAGAATCTAAACTTAACCAAGTGGCTCTCCTGGGAGAGTTCCACAGGTTGGGGAAGCTCCGCAGGTGGGTGGTGTGAGGGAGGGGTTTTGCTGCCTCTCCAGCCATCCAGTGAGAGGCACGTGAAGGCTGGAAGGGCGCCTATGTGTGGTTCCGAAGACCTTTTCCGTGGGGGTTGGTGACAGTGGGTGGCTTGAGAGTGCTAAGTCATAAGCACATGCAGTAATAAAATTCCTTCATTGTTTAGAGTTTAATCTACGGTTTTATCTAGAACTTGGTGTCATTTCCCTCCCTTCCCTCTTGCAGTGATTTACAGGCAAACGTACACACACAGCACATCCCCAAACAAAATATTTCTGCTCTGAGCATCTGTGGGCAGAAGAAACGTCAGGCATCGGGAGTGCAAGGAGATGACTGTGGAGGGCTCTGTGTCCCAGAAAAGGAGAGGCGAATGGGTCTGCCAAGCCTAGCAGAGCATTGCATACCATCTTTCCCTGTGCTGAGGAGAGGTGTTTGAATAATCTCCTGATAGAAACAGTCATCATGAAGAGGCAATAGCTATAATGACTGTTACCCTGTAAAGTAAGTTAAATCAGTGTGGTGGCGTAGTGCCTAAGGCATTTGACTGCTAACCGGAAGGCTGACGGTTCATACCCACCAGCCACTCCTTGGAAGGAAAATTGGGCAATCTGCTTCCACAGTGATCCTGCCTCAGAAATCCAAGGAGGGATGGCTATGAGTCAGATCTGATTTGACAGCAGTGGTTTTTTTTTTTTTTTTTGTATCATGAGTGAATGAATGAATGATCAGTTAGTTATCCCACATGTATCTGTTAATAAGTTATCCATTCCATTGGGTAAATGAAAATTGCCATATATGGGACGAATATGGACTATTTCTGTGCTTTATATTTACTTGGGGATGTTTTTGATGAAAGGACATCCAGGCGGTGTCACCTGATAGGTTCTCTTTGAAACCCTCCATATTTGGGCTCAGTTTCTCCAACTTCTGATGCAATGTAAACATCCACTCCTAGGATGGCTGCCAATAGTTAACATTTCTCAGGCGGGAAATCTGCATCAATAGGGAAGAAACGCAAAGGAACGGCTGTATGAGCAGAGGTTCGGCAGAAACTGAGCCATTGCTGCTGGGGTGCTTTCCCCACTTTATTTTACTAGGTTTTAAAACGGTCTCACTTTTTCCTTCAGAACAATGGAATGAGACCAATTTTCACATCCCTGCCTCCTCCAGAGCACTGTGATTTCACAGTGGCTAGAGAAGAGTTACTATGGGGCCTGGCGGCTTCAGAATGGGGCCTGGCGGCTTCATTATTCACGAGTGTGTGCTGTGCTTTCTGATCACAGGCCGAGTCCAGATGTTGCCCCAGGCGGTCTGCCTCCTGCACGCGCTGCTGGAGAACGGGCACACCGTGTATGTGCATTGCAACGCCGGTGTTGGCAGGTCCACAGCGGCGGTGTGCGGCTGGCTGCAGTACGTGCAGGGCTGGAGCCCGAGGAAGGTGCAGTACTTCCTCATGTCCAAAAGGGCGGCGGTGTACATCGATGAAGATGCGTTGGCCTGGGCCAAAGAAGACTTTTTTCGGAAATTTGGGCAGGTTCGTTCTTCCATATGCTGTCTGTAGTCGGCAGATATGCTGCCCCGGTCTTCTAGTAATGTCTTTTCAGGATGCCGAAGTAAAGTAAGCAAGAGGAACCCGGAACAAAGATTGTTCCTGTGGTGGGAGCTTCTCCACCAGCCCGCCCCCCTTTAAGCTGGGCGGAGTTCCTATCATGCTTTGGCAGAACTGCCTTTTCTTTTGAAGTAGTTTACAAGGGGGCCTGTGACTGACTCGTCAGTAAAAGGCCAAAGCTGTTGGGCTGGGCCCGTGAGGCCCAGAGAGCACCAGAGAGGAAGGTGTTAAGTGTAGCTCTCCTGCTTTCTGCCTCCTTCTCCCTGAAGGCCCATTAGTCACTTGCTTTACAGATGCTGCATGTGTTTTATTAGAAAGTCACACTGCACTTTCTTATTGCATTGTGACTGCTTGGGATGCAGAAGAAAATCTAGCAAGTTAGGTAGATTTCATCACTTGCTCACCCACAGGTCCAGCCACTCAGACACACAGACACTCAAAGTACTACTTTTCTGCTGAACTGAACTGAACTGACACTGAAATGAACCTTCCCCCTAGCTCAGGGAGGAAGGGTTGAGCCTGGAGGTGATAGGAAGAGTTCACCAAGGCTGAAATATCCATGGCTGTCTAGACTCTGCATCCTGCAGCTGTTGAAGGCTATTCCAAGCCATACCTTCCTCCCCCACCCACAACCCTGTGGCACAAGCAAAGAAAAGTTTTATCTATTTTTCTTTCTTTCTTTCTTTCAAGTCTCCAAGAGCATGAAGAGCTTGCTGGAGGCCTCCTGGCTCGTCAGGGGCCAAACGGAGTTTATAACCCTTGTTGATTTGACTGTTAGCTCAAATGCCCTTGTCAACACAGCACTTTGTTTTGCCAGCATAGTGTAGTGAATTTGGTTTCTCTCTTGGAGACCAAGCTCTATCTCTGCAGCCATTTCTACTGTGAGAAATAGAACAGTATTCTGATCAGCTGCCAAGGAATTTAGGAAACTAGTTGTATTTTGTACAAGCTAATTTAAAATGTAGGGGGCCTTCTGAAGGCCCATGAGGCCTGAGCCATAGCTCACAACAGGAACTATATTACCAGAGGAGCCAAAGTGAAAATCCACAGATAATTGTTTCACAGCTTAGAACTGATCTTGACTTAGCCTTCAGATCAATAAAACACTCAGTTACGGTGCCTCCGGAATATGCAACTCACTGTGCAAGGTTCTATGGGAAATACAAAGATGAACGAGACTTTGCATGGAAGGAACCTAGAAACAGACCCATATTCAACCAACTATAATGCAGTATTGAACTCTGAATGGTATGCTGGGGTAGGGGAAGGGGCAGTAACTTGGATTATGTATTGAGTACCTCTTAGGTGCAGCTTTGACTCCTAACCAGAAGGCAGGTGATTCAAACCTCCCAGCCACTCCTTGGAAGGAAGATTGGGCAGCCTACTTTCTTAGTGATACTGCCTCGGACATCCAAGGAGGGGTCGCTGTGAGTCTGATCTGACTCGGCGGCAGTGAGTTTTTTTTATGTGCAGCACACTTTCTAGTCTTATCCAGTTTCATCCTCACAGGACCCTACGGTAGGAGTTTCACTATCTCTGTTTTATAGATGAGGAAATTTAAGGCTCAGAGAGGTGAAGTCGACTGCCTAGTTTCACATGGTGAGTAAAAGGATGAATTGGGATACAAAGCTAGACTTGTCTGACCCAAAGCTATTGTTTTTTTTAATAATAAGTTGCAATGCTTAATTTATTCTGCTCCTTCTTTCCTTCTACAAATATTTATTGTTATGTATATGGAACTAATGGAGAGATTTGGGGGATGAAAAAGGACACGAGTTAAGTTTCAGTGGAGTTCAGAGGAGGGAGTGATGACTTATACCTGTGGGGCTCAGGAGAGATGGCATTTGATTTAGGTAGAGAAGGATACACTGGATATTTCTTCTGCCTGTTTACAGGTTAAATTTATAAGCCAGCATTGAATAGTATGTAGTCTAGCTCCCTTGCTAAAAATAATTCAGAGATAACTAATATATTAAAATAGCCCATTCACAGTCATAAGGTGTTGTGTAAAATTGAATCTTAAATACTGAATGTTTCTGAATTATGTGTGTGATTGTGTGTGTACATTTTCTTAATGTCCTTGAAATTCTGTTTCATACTTTCCACAATAGACAGATTTTCTGGGGTAGATTTTTTCCTTATTTCTGAGACAGACTAAATCCATTTAGGACTATTAAAGGATGGAATAACCGTTCTTGTCCTTAATGAATGGAATGTCTAATGTATTTTGAAAACACCTGGAATTTTTGTGAAATAAAAATATTTATAAAATGACCTCTGTGTATAGTTTTTTTTTTTGTTTGTTCTGTTTACTTTTATTGTGATTTGGGTAAAAGTTTACAGAGCACATTTTCCATACAGCAGTCCATACACATTTTGTCTCATGACATTGACTGCAATTCCCCACCGTGTAACAGCTCTCTTCCCACTTCCTCCCTGTAGTTACCTCTTTCTTGTGTCCTTCCTGCCCATGCACTCCTGCCCCCCCAGCTGTCTCCCTGTGCATACACTGCCCTTCTGTTCTTCCATGATTGATCTCTCCAAGTTGTGTATCTACCTGATGTAAATGTTCAGCCCATATGTTTGTCTGTCATTTGGCTGGAAGCCACAAGAATGAGTTCAATTACAGACCTGAGGGCAGCTAGGGGCCATAGTCTCAGGGGTCTCACCAGGCTCTATCACACCAGAAATCCTGGTCTTTTTTTTTTTTTTTTTTTTTTTTGAGTTTTGTTCCACGTTGTTCTCCCACTCTATCCAGGAT